TAAATGGCATAAACAACCGCAGTCTACTCATAAGGAAACGAATCATTAATTATAATATGATTATACATTTATTCTGGTCTCGAAGCTTTCTTGACTTTACTCGTAATTATATTTATGGAAGTCTCGCGAGATGAACAGAAACAGAAAGATAAGGAAACTCTACAATTATTCGCCAGCGATCAATGAACAATAATTACCCCGTCAGCGATACACCTCAGACGAAAGAGAGGCCAATTGGGTCAACGTAACCATATTTCACTTTTTATTTGTACTCGATTCCTCCGGGGCACGTTAATGACAACGCGATACATCGCCGATGACCACTCTGACCCTGATTAAACGACATCTTCACACATGCCTCTCGATCAACAGCCACACTACCCTGAAACTCTCAGCGATCCTGTAAAACGTTGCAGAAAGTGAATCACTCCACGAAACATTGGAATCCCGTGGGACGAGCTATATTTCTCCTTCTTTTTTTTTTTTTCGTGTTTCCCAAGCGTGCGTTATGCCTCGAGCTATTTTTCTCTTTTCAGACGTTTCTGTTATGCGTCTCGATCTATTTTCCCGAGACTTTTCAAGAATCTCCAATTCCTCGGATATGTTTGTCGATCTTATCCACGCCCCTCGAGACAAAAACCGCGGAACAATACGTATGATACTTGTGTGAAAAATAACGCGAAAAGAATTGAACGATTGGATACGGTTCAGAATACCGAGTGGTTGATAACTGGCGATACTAGAGAAAAAAAATAAGGGATTGACGGAGAAATTAATCGATGTTTTTAAAAATGGAAAGAATTGTATGACACGCTGATTGAAAGCACTCGATTTTCTGTTCTAAGAATTGAGATAGAGGGACCACTTGCTCGAGTGACATAAACGTAGAGAAAATTATATGGATGTAGACCCAAGGGCAATTCCCTAACAGCCATTAGTCTCCAGTTGCTGGTGATTCGACTCACGAGAGTGTAATTCAGAGGATCTGACTTTCAAATGAACTCCACTGTATGAAAGCTGTCATAAAGACTAAGTTTCAGATCTCTACTATCTTCTATTACCAAGATCAACACTCCCAAGAGAATAGAAATACAGTAAAGTCGCCTTAAGTGCGCGGAAAAACCTATAATAAAAAAAGGTAACTTTGATGAAAATGGTAATTTTGAAAAAACTTATATTCTGTAGAGAGTGGTAATTCTGTACTTTTTCCCCTATCTATAGAAATGATGACCGTTCACGCTAACTGCAGGTATACGGTTCCGAGTTTCGCGCAGTTAACGCGACCTTAAGGTTATTTCGACTGAACAGAAGATTTCCTAAGACATTCCGAACCTAAAATACACTGCCGCTATATTGGACCCATTATAAATTACTTATTGTTGCACCAAAAAATATCGTGTCAATCCCTCAAAATCAGTTCCCACAAATGGGAATCCCCTCAATCTCCTCTATTTCCCTATTTTCATTCCAAGAATAGCTCACTTATTAAGTTCGCCAATTAATTCTTCGAAATCGTTTAATTAAATCGCTGTTACGTTTACGTTAATCGAATACGAGCAACGGTTCACGGAATACACCGCGAACGGGGAATTTCCTCGAGTCGAATGGGCGAAAAAAAAAAAAACAATTGGAGCGGAATCACCGAGGTGGGAAGACGATTCATCCGATCCGCTGTATAATACGATAACTTATTACGTTCAAACGGCAACGATGTACACACACGCACACACTTTCCTCTGGAGCGCGGGAAAGTTGTACATATCACGATCGGCAGTTTTAAGGCGCATGCACACTAACTGCCGTGACACACTTACCGTTCGTGGAAGCGAACTAAAAGCAAATTTTGCGTGTGCTTGCCGCGAAGCGGTTCGCTTTGCGCGACTGATAGCTTATCGGGGCATTGTAATCTCGCATCATCGACGTTATCGGTCGTGCACGCTTGTCATTCGTGGATCACGAGTAATACCGTGTCTGTTACCGAGGACCGCGGGAATCTTTATCTTCGCATGGACTTTTTGCATAAGGCTACGGTTACACTGGAAGCGTTCTGCGATGAGATAATGTTCCGACGTATCGTTTCGAAATGTTCTGCGGAAATAGGTGACAGGCAATATGGAGCAGATGTTTATGCAATACAAACTTTTTGAATAAATTTTGGAGAACTAGACGTAAGCAAAGAGTGATTTTCTTCATCCTACATTTATTAAAAACATATACACCTCGCTATACGGCCGCTCTTTATACGGCATTTCGCTAGAACGGCCTTTTTTAATTATGGCACCTTTTCGCTAATTTTATTTTTATGTAAGCATATTTATAAGAAATAAAACGAATAAAATGCTTAATGAACTAAAGACTATATTATTTTATAAAAAATTGGATCAGATCTAATTGAATTTGTATGGGTTTGTATCAAAATAATTGATCCGTTATACGGCTTTTCGCTTTACGAAAAGAAAGTTTGTACAGTAAGTAGTATATTATTAAAAAGTCTATTTTATTCAGTTCTATATATTCCCTTACGATATGAATGCATAAAATCTCCAGTGTAGTCACCACTATCATAAAAATTTATTTATCCGTATTCACTGGAAAGTTAGTTCGTCAAAAAAAAAACCTTTCCACTCTAACCGTAGTCTATTAAACTTCTTCATACGCGTTACGAATCGCAGAAAGTCAGATATAAAACCGAGTTATTGGAATCGTCGAAGGAACGACCTTCAGGATTGCATCGAGGTCTTTGAATAATAAGCTGTTTATACACCGAGAGTAACAGAAAACGCGTTATAAATCTGAATTGTGATTCCAGATTGCTGGTGTCTGGTCGAAATAGGACTGCAAGATGAATGGTCTCCTTTGAGTACGATTCATTCGTGGCTACAAAATGGAGTACCCACGATAAATCTACGAAAACTTTGGTCGGATACTTTCGCGTGATTTATCGCGTAGGATCGAGACTAACTGGCCGGGCGAACGTAACAATTACGAAGGAACACGGGTAAGCAGTTTCGACACTTTCTAATACACGAACGGAGTCGGGTTTCCAGTAAACGGGTTCGATACAGTAAGCTCGGTGTTCCTGGGCGGCTGATTCGGTTTCATCGACATCGTGCCAGACCGCGGACGAGTGATTAAACAAATCGTTTTTCACGACACAGAGAGGATTTATTGGTCTCGAGCGATACCGACCCGTTTGCCGTGCGTTTAACACGGATTTGGTCTGACGCAGACAGGGCTGATTCTACTTATTCAATTTCTGTGAGAGCGTACACAGAAATTGGTCGATTTGGGTAGATAATCAGGACAAGAAATTATTCTACGTGGAAAAATGAGTCGAAAATGTAGAATGATATTTTTTCGTACGATGGTTCGTGTTCGAGATAATTCAATTTGAACGTCTACTGGCTACGCGGACAATGTCTGTTCGTCACATTCTGTTTCTACTTAATGTCAGCGTGAACACCAGAGTTGGACAGAATTTTATTTGAGCACTGCATCCTGACCTTTAAACAGCTATTTTAGTAAAGTAAGTGTAGTTAAAGAGATTATTTAGTTATTTTTATTGTGACGAGGCTTACCTTCGAACAGTTAACGAGACTGAATAATTGTTCGCCAAGGGCCTACTCATTCAAGCAGAAATATTATTTTATTAGGTGTACAAATTAATGCGTGGCCTTATTTTCATAGATTTCTTGTTTATTTATATAAAATAAAATACAGTCTGGACTTGAAAATAAATATTCCTCGTCATTTTTCTACAGATTTACGTCATTTTTTGAACAGTTGGCGAATACCGTCTCGAAAAAATAATGACGATTTTGAGTGAATAATTAAATTGTGGAGGCCACGAATTAATTTGTACACGTAATATTAGAATAATTGGAATTTCCACATTTAATCGATTGAAAATTACGAAATACTCTTTCATCTTTTATTCATTATTCGAAACTCTTTATCTAGGTAATATAATATGTAACCTCTAATGTCTGATGAATACATATATACGTAAATGTCTTCAAGTTCGATTATCTCCAACTCGAAGTATCGTACGAAAGAAGTTTTATTCCACATTTTCGACGTATTTTTTCATGTAGAACGATCTATTATACCATCCGTTTTGACCTACTCTGTATAATACCGACCTCTATCCTCCCGAAAGGACGAAAATCGAATTCATTAAATCGAAAGAATCTGGCGGAAAGCTTCTACACAATTCAAGACGCAAGATTTCATGCAACGTGTCAAATGCAAACGGCGAACCAAGGAACATCATCGCAAACGTGTGATTCACAAATACTCGTCGATGCTACTACGTCGAGTGCAATACGAAAACAAAGAACCACAACAGGCATAACAGAGAGAGAAAAAAAAAAACAAAACACAGAGAATCCGGGACGGCATACGGAACCAAGGAAAAAAAGGTCGAACGTGCAAAGTCAAGCTGGGAAATCTGAATGTTTGAATTCGAACTACGACGGTGGAGTCCACCATTTAAATTGCAACGATCGAGCGTCACTTCGACGTTCAACGAGATCGAATTCGAATCTTAGCTAACAGACGCGAAATTCAAATTGTCAAATTCAGAATTTCAACGTTCCGATCGATACGAAAGTGGTCAAATTGAAGTTTCAACGATCGAATCTTAAAAAACGGATTCAAATATTAACGATCGAATTTAAATCTCAACAGTCCAATTCAAATTTCAACGGCCAAATTTCAAATATCAACGGCCAAATTCAAATATCAACGGTCAAATTCAAATATCAATGATAAAATTCGAATCTCACCGGACGAATTCAAATCTCAACGGCGAAATTCAAATTCAAACTGAAATTCAATCCTCCGCAAACGCAGATTCGCTTCAATCGAATCGATTCAGAGAACGGGTGACCGAACAAAAAGAAGAAACAAAACTAAGAAGAAAACAGAGAAAGAGAGATAGGGCACTCGAACAAGGAAACAAAACTGGATGATGATGAATCTCTTTCGAGTCTGTTTACCTGCTGCACGTACCACTGCGTGGAATTCTGGTTCTTCCTGTGGTTGGTCGGCTTGCAGGGGCCGCAGAGAAGCAGGGGCGCCAGTTTGTTAACCCCCTTGACGCTGGCCGACGCCGGGGGCGACGCTGGGCTCAGCCCGTCATCCCCCAACACGGGCCACAGCATCCACGACTGTATGTCCGCGGAACTTCCCCTTCTTCCGTCACTTCGATTCTGCCTGTGCAATCGATCTAATGATTTTTCCTGCCGACGAACACTCTCACTTCGGGTAAACTAACCGATTCGGACTACCGATAACTCAATAGACACACACAGCGGGTAATTTAACGAATAACTATAAGAAAATTCTTTTGCAGTACAAAACATTGACTTCTATGTACTTCAACAGAATATGTTCTCCACTGTATCACTAATAAACACACCGAGACGCATTTTTCTGTTCGATCGGCTTTCTTTCGGACACGATACTCTTGTCTGCTGGAAGATTGAAGGATCAAATTTAATGAAATCGTAAAGGATTATAGGTCGTCATTTTTACAACAGGTAGGTTTTCGGTCAGTTTACAAATGAAGATTCCCACTGAGGTCGTTGTACATAAATTTCTGTCACATAAGCCGAATTATTGTGAACTGTTGGATTAGACGAAGCCCTCGAAAATTCTGATCCAAATGGATCCATTCTTCGCCGTCTGAAGTTACAAAATTCACCGGTATAAACTGCAGAGTCGTTAACCAATTCGAACATTGATTCATCGTCATCCTTCAAACTTCGATCGACGTGAATCGCGTACCCCCATTTCCATTGTCTCGACGTTCCCACGTATCCAGGGACTCGTCCCTGGTAAACCGACAATAGGTATAAAAAACAAAAAGAAAAAAAAGAGGGAAAAAAATTCTACACCGCGATCAGACCACGATCGAACGTAATCACATTCACCCGCGGTTTTGTTTCGAGCGATTTATCGTGCTGTCACTTGAAATTGATCGATAATCGAGAAGTCCAGAACGTCTGGCTCGCGACTCTATCGCCGACGAGGCACTGAGTTATCGTCGACGTGTGGACGCGAGTCGAACGTGTTGTTGGGCTCCCACCAGCGACACGTCGTCGATGCGTAACGACGTCGCGCGACGGATTTCGCGACGGGGATCGAGATATCGCGAAAAATGCGTCCTACGATCCTTAGACTAAACAGAACGATCGGGTTTCCTGTATTTTTTTATTTTTTTTTCGTCATTGGAAAACTGCATCTCGTTTCCAGCGAGCTGCTCCGTTTTTTTCTTTACTCTGGTAGTAACTGTGTCTTGCGTCTCTTTCGATGTGGAATTGTGTAATTTGTGTGTGTTTTGTATCGATATATTGTGTAACCGTCGCGATCGAGTATGTATTGACAGTGTACAGAAACTGTCAGCGAAAATCAGTGAATGAGAAACATGTTTAGTAATATAGAGGACGTACGTTGTTGTTTGTTTGGATTCTGTATTTTTGTCGAAATTAACGTTCGTAATGGTCGAATTGAAATTGAAATTCTTACGCTTGGTAACGATCGAATTGAAATTCTGACGCTTCGGAACGATCAAAGTTAAATTCTAACGTTTGGTAACGATAAAATTGAAATTCTGACGCTTCGTAGCGATAAAATTGAAATCCTGACGCTTCGTAGCGATAAAATTGAAATTCTGACGCTTAGTAACGATAAAATTGAAATTCGGACGCTTCGTAACGATAGAATTGAAATTTTGACGCTTCGTAGCGATAAAATTGAAATTCTGACGCTTCGTAGTGATAAAATTGAAATTCTGACGCTTAGTAACGATAAAATTGAAATTCTGACGCTCCGTGACGATCGAATTGAAATTCTGACGCTTCGTAGCGATAAAATTGAAATTCTGACGCTTCGTAGCGATAAAATTGAAATTCTGACGCTTAGTAACGGTAAAATTGAAATCCTGACGCTGCGTAACGATAGAATTGAAATTCTGACGCTTCGTAGCGATAAAATTGAAATTCTGACGCTTCGTAACGATAAAATTGAAATCCTGACGCTTCGTAACGATAAAATTGAAATTCTCACGCTCAAAATTTAGATAGTAAGGATCAAATTTAAAATTCAAATTATAACCGTCCGACCAGGAATTCAAATTGAAAAGGGACAAGCAGAAATTCTAACGATCGAATTCTAAGTCGAAATGATTAAACGCCATCGGTCCAATTAAAACGCAAGCTGTTGAATTCAACTCGAAACACGATACACTCGTGTTTCATGGCGCCAACAACATCGTTAACAGTCTGTCTCTCCCCGCAGTCGTGGAAACGACAACTTTGATCAAAAGAAGAACGCAAGTTTTCAGTGACGATCGATCACTCCCCCATAGCTCAAAGCCATTCGACTTCGCGAAAGGTCGAAGAAGCAAAACGGGCGGGAAACAGTTGCGTTAAAGAGGATACGACGCATCCCTCGTAGGCGGAATTGCACTTCCGATAATTAGAGCTCTCCGGTCGAGATCCACGCTGACTCGAAATGCCAGGTGACCGTTTGACTTTCAACATTTTCACCTGGTTAATCGCGAAGTTCCTCGAATAACAATTGTACCATTTTACTTCGGACGTTCCATTAATTATGATTAAAGTTTCTCCACAGTAACTGAATTCCATTAAATCCAGTCTGATTGTAATACAGTTGAACCTCCAGTATCCGAACTAACGGGGAGGCATAAATGTTTGGATAAAGGAATTTTCGAATAATCACTTTTCGAAACTTGGTTTATTCAAATAGATATGAATTGTATTGATAACAAAACGTTCGGATATGGGAGGTTCTACTGTACTAATAATACAACTGACCATACCGAAATGTTCAGATAAACGAATAAAAATTGAAAAATCCTCGGAGGATAATGAAAAAATATTAAATAATGAAATGAATCGTGATCCTTCGGAGAAAAGGTTAAACGGACAATCCGAGAATATGGTAATCGTTTTAACGAAATTCTCGGGATTTGATAAAAGTGTCGATGCCCGTCGACGCCTCGTTTCGATAAAACTGAACGCCCAGTCACCGCTTGCCACGGGAAAAACGCAAGCGCGTCGTCTGTGTCATAACCTTAACCCTTCCCGATACAACATTTCGTGCGCAACGCCAGTCAGATATCGAGCATCGTGCGTTAACCTCTTCGAGAACAGATTTATTAAAACCACTGAAAAAAAATAACTTTTTTGTTCCTTTTTCAGAACTCTCTATTTATTGAAAATATCTTTATGACTGTTAATAGAAGTCAATTGGCAGGATGCCTCTTATTTGGGAATTTTCTAGTGAATATTTATCGACTTAGTAAACCATTCAGTTAAGAGTGATTAATCATGTTCGAGCGAACGAAACAGCTGAACAACACAGTATTCTTCAAGTGTTTAAGCAGAGTGTATTCTCGAAAATTTTACGACTTCAGAGATATACAATATTTATGATTCACGAGAATTCGTTAAAAAAACAAGGTATCTAACGAATCCCCATTTTCTAAATGAAATTGTTAAAAGAAGAGATAACGGGAATAGGGAATGCACGACACACGAATCGAATTGAAAAGGGGCCTGTGATTCACGTTTTCTCAAAGGGAATTTGTCAATTAAGTAGAGAACCGTTCCTATCGTTTGGGAATCACAGATACACAATGCTATCTCGGATCTCTTCGCGCGATGATCTGCTCGAGAACCGCGAACAAAACTAATGGCATTATGCAACCGTAGTAGATATTTTCCATAAAGGGATCCAGTGGACCAGACCTGCAGCAGGAAGTGCGGTTTAAGCTGGCCTGCACGGCGTTTCATGCGAGCATGAATCATTTCGAGGCTCGAATGACTCGGCTTGTTACGTTATTTTCTTATTTAACGCGCCTCGCTCCCCGGTGCGTGCTGCTCGAACCACGAGAAACCTTGATGTTACATTCAAATTCAAATTCATATTCCAACGGTTAAATTCAAATTCATATTTCAACAGTTACATTCAAATTCAAATTCATATTCCAACGGTTAAATTCAAATTCATATTCCAACGGTTAAATTCAAATTCATATTTCAACAGTTACATTCAAATTCAAATTTATGTTTCAACGGTTATATTCAAATTCAAATTCATATTTCAATGGTTAAATTCTAGATCAAATTCAAATTCAAACATACTAGTTCGAATTTCAATTCAAACACAAACGTGCAAATCCGAACAGTCAAATTCAAGTTTCAGCAGCCACGCTGAATTGAACGTAAAGTCGAATAACAAGAATTTTCTTCGAATTACAAGAAAACTTCAAATCGAGAATTCACCATTTAAATTCAATTTGTCCTAATAGAGACTACTCTTGGAAAAAATATTCCAGACATACGTAACGTTTAATACAAAGTGCATTTACGAGCGAACAAGTTTCATGTGCCCGCGTCGGTTCGTTTCGATAGCGACTCCCCGCGAAGAGTGTTAGCCTTGCTCGATAAATGCGTAATATGAGGTCACGGTGTTAATACGTCACGGTATTCACCACAGGACGTAAGCATTAACAGGACTGTTTGTACACAGCCGCCGTTTGCGCCGCGCGCTGACCGTCACGTGTACGGCAACAGGTTCACGAAGCCAATCAATGACATCGAATAAAATAAATACCACAACGATGACTCATCTGTTCCTCTGGTTCCTCGATTATTTCCCTTAGAACTACTAGTTACCAAACAAACTTTTATTGCCTTCCATATCTATTCCTTCAGAACACTTGACTGTAATTTTCTTAAAAATACAGAAATCATTGTAATTCCACTCGATCGAAACTTCTATGATACCAACAGAGAATTAATCCCTAGGATTAAACCCATATTCCCATTATCGATTAACACCAGATATGGGCACAATTTAATTCGAATAATACATAGCGAGAAGCAACAGTATCTAAGATCGTCATCTCGACCTTTGAACAGTTCATGAGATTAAATAATTATTAGCAAAGTGTCTACTAATTCAAAAAGAAATATTATTTTAGGATAAACATTAGAATTACCACGTTTTTCAAAAATGACGCAATATCTTCTTCATTTTTTATTCGTTATTCGAAACTTTTTATCTAGATAATGAATTTGCCCATCTCTGGTTAACTCTAAACCTACAACGACCGGTTAAAATCACCGGTTTTGGCGTACTAATTCCTACCTTCCTGAAGGGTTCGGTAGGTTTAGTGTTAAAAT